TCTTCGTTTTGCTAATATTCTTATTACTCGTATAAATATTCTCCTTATTAGCATAAGTATTCTTACTATTGGTATTCATCTTATTCGTCGTATTATTGACTTAATTCGTAATATTATTTCTATTAATATTAGTATGCATAGTATTACTCGTATCCTTCTGGGTATTATTATTATTATCATTCGTTTTATGAATAGTCCTTTCATTCTTATTAGTATTATTATTATTCGTCTTCTTCTTCTTATTCCTCCTCCTCTTCTTAATCCTCTTCTTATTATTATTACTAGTATTCCTCTTCTTCTTCGTGCTTTACTATTATTATTAGAATTATTATTATGTTTCTTCCTCCTCCTCCTCCTCCTCCTCCTCTTCCTCCTCCTCCTCCTCCTCCTACTCCTCCTCCTCCTCCCCTCCACAATTACACAAGATGAAAACACTCTCCCACTTCCCCTGATGGCGTCCCGAAGATATCCGACCCCCCCCCCTGCGTACTGTTTTTTACACACTGGATTCCCGGGAAACGGGTTTTGCCTGCGTTTGTTTTCAAAGTGCTGCTCTCGCTGAGGCGCCGGCCTCATTTTTGCTCCCGAATCGTTCCGAATCGTGCTCCCGCTGCAGCGTGGGCCTCATTTTCGGATCGGTGTTTGGCCTCCGTCGTTCGGGATGCGTTCTCGCCCCAACGCGGGCCTCTTTCTCGCGCGCCCATCCGCCCGCCACCACCGCGTCGCACCACCACAACCACCACCACCACCACCACAACCACCACCACCAGCACCACCACCACCACCACCACCACCACAACCACGCACACACGCACGCACGCACGCACGCGCACCACCACCCACTACGCACGCGCGCGCGGGGCCACAGGTCCGCTACGACACGCGTCCGCGGATAGAGAAAAATCAGCGCCATGTAAGGGATGGAGGGAGGTAGACGTCAGAATATGCCGAGCGCACCTAAGCTTGTCCTCATGCCCCATCCCCCTCCCCCCTCCCCCTCCCACGACCCCCCTCCCCTCCTCCTCCTCCCCTCACTCCTCCTCCTCACTCCTCCTCCTCCTCCTCCTCCTCCTCCTCCTCCTCCTCCTCCTCCTCCTCCTCACTCCTCCTCCTCCCCTCCTCCCCCCTCCTCCCCTCCTCCTCCGCCTCATCCTCCTCCTACCTTTTTCCTCCTCCTCACTCCTCCTCCTCCTCCTCCTCCTCCTCCTCCTCCTCCTCCTCCTCCTCCTTCCTCCTCCTTCCTCCTCCTCCTCCGCCTCCTACTCATCCTCCTCCTCCCACCTCCTCCTCCTCCTCCTCCCCTCCTCCTCCTCCTCCTTCCTCCTCCTCCCATCCTCCTCCTCCCCCGCCTCTCCTCCTCCTCTCATCCTCTTCTCCTCCTCTCCCCTCCGTCCTCTCCTCTCCCTCCTCCTCCTCCTCCTCCTCCTCCTCCTCCTCACTCCTCCTCCTCCTCCTCCTCCTCCTCCGCCTCCTCCGCCGCCTCCTCCTCCTCCACTCCCCTCCTCCTCCCTCCGCCTCCTCCTCCCCTCCCCTCGCTCCTCCCCTCCTCCCCCGTCCTCCTCCGCCCTCCTCCTCCTCCTCCTCCCTCCTCCTCCTCCTCCTCCTCC